AATAAACTGTGGCCCGGAATTCCCCAATTTCCCCAACATATTGTAAATATGCAACCAAATATTTATAACAAATAAACCACCTCTGGCGAAGAAACGCTGTATGGTGCAAAATAATAATAATAATAATAAGAAATTGTCGAAATTTCGACTAAAATGACCGATTTTCACTGAAAATATGCTTTTTTATACAAAATATGAAGAAAAAAAGTACGAACAACTGTAGGGAAAAGACGGGATTACGAATGTAATTCTCTTTATATTTTCACAAAACAAGAAATTGTTTGATCTTTAGTCGATCTGTATTTTCCAGGTGGCGATTAGCTGAATAATCGGATGATTTCCTTCGAATCTCGTTTTCGATTGTCCTGTAGAAGAATTATCCCAATACATTTTTTGTCAATCTTTGACCATATCAATTTGTGTGGTCAACAATATTAGTAATGTTGCTTTGTTCAACCATCAACTTTTCTGTTACGCTTTCAAATAGAAGATATCATTTTGCTGATTTATGCAACCTTAACTGTTTGTATGTAATAAGTAGGTATCATTAGAAAAATAAACTTTTGTCAACCAGTGTCAATCACAATTACAACGTAGTTTCAACGCATACTTACTCTCTGAAAAATACCAGACTTTTTAATTTACCCACTTCCACCACTAATGTAGACACTACTCTATGGAGCAACGGACTTGTCGTCACACGCGTAGATATAGCATTTCACTCTATTTAGCGATTCGTTAGTTGCCGAAAAATCGTCTATGCAGTGCACTCGATATTTACCATGAAATACCGTTCTGGTTAGATATAACGTCGCACTTCATCGCAGTAGCCATAGGTTTAATTGCTAAATAGAGTGAAATTTGTAACAACAAAATCGAAATTTCGTTGAGAATCATCTTATTGTTTTTGCTATTGCAGCACAAAAGATACACAATTGTACTTACTTAAAGTGAATGCGCATTTTGAAACGCTCAACGGGCGTTCATCATCAGCACTGACACGACTCTCGATTTTTGCCGGTGATTTGCGGGACAAAAAAACGACAACACACCAACACAACGCAAAACAGCCGGATCAGTAACAACAAAACATTCGCCGCATCAAATCAATGCAAATAAGCAGGACTGTATGTTCCCGCTTTCCGCAATCAATGGTGCTATCTCTTTCTCGATGTAATAACTTTCATACGCATCTGGTCTGCTCTGTCTATTGATATTCTTAATCAGTTCGATGCTATGGTCGCTTTCATCGATTCCATTTTTCAGTAATTATGCCATTTTCTCAGGACACTATTTGAGCCCCGGCATGTTACGTACCGTTGGAAAGGTCTTGGCCCAAATAGTCGAGAACACCATATCTCCCATGCCTAAAGTGTGGTCTAGTCAAAAATATAGTGGTTTCAAAATTTCCATAAAGAACATAGTATAGTATGTTATAGTGAAGAATCGTGCTTTTTGACAGATGTACTAAATTGAATGTTTTCTATGTCGCTATCTGTTGTTGGTGATACAAATATCTTATCACATGGTTCTGATGAAGATTTTTTTTATTGTTTATCCAATTTTATATAAAATTACTTTTTCAATCATAAACCCAATTTACGAACACACATAAGAGTGGAAAAAAATTGTCATCATCAAGTTTAAAACACGGCACGACCAATTTCAAGTGTTGTAACTTTGTTTTAAAAAAAGCCGAATATTAAGACCAAAATGTCGTCAGAGGTAATACACCAATCACGTGTTTTACGAACAAAAAATATCATTTTCAGTGAAAATGAAGCAAGTTGAAAAATTCACTTCAATCCGACCTATTTTTTGGCCATGAAATAGCCTCAGATCGCATTGTAACCACTTTTAATCGATTGCTCGTCGAAAATTGAGCGGATATGGTCTCTTGTGAGCCTTTTTCAGCCAGTAGATGCGTATTTTGAAGATTGTTTCCAAAAAGCATCGATCAGTTGAATCTTCTTTTCATTCGATCCTTTCTGCTTCAAAACTGCGCGATGATCAATCGCGAACTGCGCCGTAGAATTCATCACGGAATCCTCGAATACCTCGATGATTTCTTTGCCTCGTATATAATGGGAAAGAGCTTTGGTAACCACAAGCGACACACTGTCTTCAAATTGGTTGATGTTTTGAGCGAGCTCAACCAAACGCGACAGACCGCGATCATGAGTTTCAGTGACCGATTTGTAGTTTACAACCAAAACCAATTTGATGCTTTTGGCATTCTCGATGACACTTTTGATGAGAAACGTTGTGGCGATCTCGACCGTTTCATTGCACGTGTCACCGAAGCCAGGACAATCGTACCACACATTCTGCTCTTCGTCGACGTTCATTTTGCGGAATGAGTGTTCGCGACACCGTCGACGTTCGAATACTTCCTATTTTTTCATCGAGGTCATCGTAAATTGTGTATTCGGAGTTGGGTCCATCGGTCTCTATCGCAATAATTTTGCTATCATCTCTGCACATAATGAATCAGTGTAGATTTTCCAGTGCCCGTATTGCTAACGACCAAAATTATATTTGGATTTGCTGACACCATTAATTTACTTCTTGCTTCATTAAAAAAATTGAATATTCGTTCCGCAGAATCGGTTTCACTATTAATCGAAGCGATTACTAGTCGCGCACAGACGAAGAATACCAGAAAACAGAGGAACTTAGCCATTTCAATTGGCAGCTTCAAATGATTAATTTTTACTGAACAAACGAATTCCGCTTACTACTATTTATACACGAATATAAAAGGGGATTTTTGGCAGTCTGGATAATCTCTTATGAGGATTTATGGACAAGAAAGACTTTATCAAAAAACAAATAAAATACTTCTGATATATCTATTGACTAAATCGAGAGGAGAGTAAGTTCATCTGACTTTGTTATGAAAGAGAAGAGTAAGTTTTTTTCGACTCAAAAATGGTTAAAGGCGAGTATGTTCATTTTTGGAGGGTCGTCGCGGTTTTCTACGGTTTCCTCGGAACTGATAAGAGATAACAACTTGGTGTCTTCGGCAAAGTTGTAGCACTTGAAGTCTTCTATAACATTGCTGAAGTCAGTTATCTCTTATCTTTTATCAGTTCCGCGAAAAGCGCAAAAAATGATAAGAAAAAAAAGTTCGATATAAAATTTGCTTTTTTATGTGCGAGATTTGCGCGCAACTGATAAGAGATAAGAGATAGATGCCTTCAGCAAAGTTATAGAAGACCTCGAATGCTACAACTTTGCCGAAGACACCATGTTGTTATCTCCAATTAGTTGCGCGAAAACCGTGAAGACCGCAGAGGCTAGACGGTACTACGACATACTCTACTTTAACGCCAACAGAATCATCAGAAAACATACTCGCCTTTTCAAAAATATAAATCGAAGAAAAAACATACTCCACTCTCAATCTCACCCATAGAATTAATATGCATAAATTTCGCAAAAACTCCTAAGATTAAGAATTAACTCCCTCTACAGTAATGTAATCCGATTTTAGCACAAAATGGTGTGCTCATTTCTAATTTTGTCTGCGAACTTCTTGCGTCGCGTATGACGTAAATTCAGAATTATAACTTCACTTATTAGCATCCTTTCGAACCCAACGTGTCTCATGCAACTTCAACTTGAGTTCATTTCGTAATTTGGAGTGAGTTTAATGCAGATTATCATGTTGTTTGCGGCAGGCAATAAATCAGTAAATTCATTAGCACATTATCTTTGCGGTTGCGCTGTCTCGTTCGAAGTCTCTAATATTCCGATTTTTAAATGTGTTTCAAGCACAAAGCGCCTAAATTTAACGCACGCCAGTTTATCAACATTGATGTACAAACAAATTTGTTTAAACGGAATTTCACTTTCACCCAAATTTTGACAGTAAATATTTAATGGTTCAAATGACCTAGTTTGAGTGAACACGAAGAAAACTCTGGGAGATGTATAAACAAGAGACTGGTTCTACCGACCGATAAGCGACCGAAAATTATTCGCCGGCTTTCGAATTGAAGAATCATAAAATGTTGTTTGCCAGTCGAAAATCAATCGAATCGAATATGAAATCGAAGTATTTTTAGAAACTGGGCTCACCTAATTATGAGGTGAATCAATTCTAGTTACAGATGATCAACAAGTCTAATCGAGTTTCGCAAAAAGCGTGAAAAATGATAAGAAAAAAAAGTTCTATATAAAATTTGCTTTTTTATGTGCGCGATTTGCGCGCAACTGATAAGATATAAGAGATAGATGTCTTCAGCAATGTTGTAGAAGACCTCGAGTACTACAACTTTGACGAATTATTCTCATTGAAAGCTACTCAAACAAATATCATAATAAACAAGCAAACCGCCTCCACTGAACAATCGAAGCTTCTTTCTACAAAAGTTTTTTTTCTAGTTTTGAACCGCGAGCTCATTCTGAAGCTTTATGAACATATTCAAGTATTGTTTTGAACTCATTTTTTTAATTCGTGTTGAAATAAATACCAACTATACTTTATCAAAAAGAAATATATCATGAAAAATCAACGTGCTGTGTTCTTTGCAACGTTCTGCATAATGAGTGCTGTGACTTTGAAAGGCGTCAAGAAATGTCAAATCCCATTGTTTCGGTGTGTTCAGATGTGTGATTAATTTCGAATTTCGAAAAAGACCGCCGCGGAATAAAAAGTAAAAAATATTACCAACACAGAAGAATTCAATAAATTTTGCAGCAGCACAAATGCTCGAAAGGATAAAAAATAAAATAGAACCACCAAAGTAAACAAATGGAATAAAAGCGTTGTTAAATAGTCTTGCATACGAATTTCGCCCGAATCGAAATGCGAATCAATTGAGTGGAATGGTAGTGAGTGTGTGCGTCACTAAGGTTGAAAATCGCAAACAAGCCACACGGTGCGAGAAAACCAGTTTTGAATGAAGTTCGAAGAGCAGAGGGAACAAATACATTGACACGCACATGCCCAGATATGGACCAACATACATTCTTCATATCAAATGAGACAGACATAGACACAGCGCCTACGCACACAAGCACCACATCAACGCACACCACAAGACGGAAAGCATAACAAAAATATTGGAGTTGAATGAATTCGCGAAAAAAGACAAACAGTTAGTGGTGCGCATTCATACGAAATTGCACATTGAACAAGACAACACACAGCATATTCTACTCACCGTTTTCATGTTCATTTTCGGGGTTAGAAAAATCGAATTTTTTTTTATTATTTTCTTTGTGATTTACGGGCAGTTCTCATAGAAGTCTAATCAGATTATTTGATTTGAGCGAATTAAAAGTGAATCAGCGAGTTTTTCTGAATAAGATTTTAAATTCGTCAACGTTCTCGGATTGACCAAGTATTAAGGCGATTATTACCTGGACCAAACTCACAGAACATACATTGTGTGGAGCAGAATTTGACATACATTAATAAAAAAACACACACTCGACTCACCAACAATCAGCCATTCTTGCTTTCGCGTACACGCCGAATGTGCGCGAGAATTTACAGTTACAAGAATTTTGCAGTCGAGCTTCGCTCAAGAGCAACCAAACGAAAGAGTGTGTATATATACAATCTATATATTAGTTGCCATACGATTCAGTCAACCAATACGTTTGCATCATATTGAATTGGAGCGCAAGAAGTCGAAACACCGTGTTAACAGAAAGAAAAAACAACCAACTGATATACAACTCCAAAGACATCAATTGATTCGGTTTAGTTTTGTTCCATCGCTGACAGAAGAATCACAATTTGTGTTTTTGCTGGACAATTGAAACGCAAATCTAAACAAGCAAATGGAATTATTCAATTTGTCGGACGGCATCTATCAAAACGTTTGAATTGGGTTTTTTTTCACCAAAATTCTCAGTGTTTATTTGTGTTTTTTATCTAATCGAAGCAAAATCAACCTAAACAAATTTGTTGAAGTATTGATACTGATTGGAAGAAGAGAAAAAAGTGGAACATCGATAAATTGTGAAATGTCCATGTAAATTGGCTAAATAAAAAGAAAACATATTCCACCAAATCACGGCAATTCACTTAATACCTGCGAGAGCAAAACGTGTGAATTAAAAAACTGGAACACATGACAAATATGTACTGCGAATTTAAAGCATAAGAAAAAAAAGGAAGAGAACAAACAAAACATTGTGTGTTTTTTCTCAAGAACAGAAGAAAAGAAAAGAGGGAAAAAAAGAATCATCGCAAGTGACGAACGTGAAGGAGTAAACAAGATACAACTAAGCACAGAGCATCTCACAAAAATCATACTCGGAACACTCGAGTGCAGTCAATTAAGAGACAAACATTTCTGGTTCTTCGTGTTGCTGTAGCTGTTACTGTAGTGGTTTGTTGTTTATTTCGGTTCTTGTTACTTACATCGGTATATGCATCGAAGCTGATCTGACAAAACATACACTGACTGACTCTATCTCACTGACAGCTGCTTGTGAATGCGGTTCTGCATGTGTGCGGCGTTTAGTATGCACTTGGTGCTCACCAATCGACTGATTCAATGAAACACTCAGAAAAAGTGGCAGAAACGATTCTCTGTGTTTGTTTTGTTTCTTCCGTCTGTTAGTTCATTTCATTCAAAAGGGAAACAACAAGAGCACACTGACGAAACTTATGCGGAATTATTACATTATCGAAAGAAGTGCGTTCGTTCGAATGAATTTGTGAACGTCGGCATCAACCACAAGTCATCAACTGGAAATAGCTTCAGATTTTTGTTTCCAATTATTCAGTGACGTTTGTTTTCGGTATTATTTGTTTTTTTCGTTTCAATTATTAGTTAATTTTGCTGTTTATTTACGGTTGAAAGTATTTATACAATTGAACAAGTTAATTTTGTGTGGGAAACTTGCACAATCGGCAAAAACAATAATAAACAACAACGAACACCTTCGAAACAAAAGAGAAATTTAAAAGTTCTAATACCAATTCGATGCATTGAAATCATAGTGAAATCAACGATATTTAGTGATTTTTTTTTTCCATCACAGCGAATGTCATCTCATCACAACTTCAAAATTCAACGATATCTGTCATTGTATCAACGTTGAGTGAGTGACCACCGGTGAGAGCAGAAGAAAAAGTTTCAAAACGTTCAGAATTTCACTGAAAAAAAGAGAAATCTGTAATTTAAATAAAAAACACAGTATATAATCAAACAGAGAAAAATAGCAGAGAGAAAAAAACAAGTTGACGCAAAAATAAAATCATAGATAAACAAAAAAACATATGAAATCGACAAAACGATCAACGTAAACATACATCGTTCAAAACTTCAATTTTGCACCGCATCAGTTTTGGATTAACATTTTATTCACATCGAATCAAAGAGAGAGATAGAGAAAAAAAAGAAAACGACACATTTTCATTTGCCCCTCTTGTGATTCTTCGGAACGCATTCAACGTTTTCCATTATTTTATCTTTGTTTGGACAAAAAGAAAGGTAAGTCATTTTTGTCGCCACACACAAATATACGTATATTTGGATTTTGCCGAATCGTTGCGGCAAACATAAATACTACTTTTGGATGGTGTCACGCGAAAAAAGAAAACAGTGTCGTTATCAATAGCCTTTGTTGAATGAAACTCCATGTGTCTACGGCACATTATTTGTGGAGCTGCAGCACATTTGTTTGGTGTGCTGCACGGGAGTCCGTGTATGCGTGTTTGTAGTGCATTCGTTGACAGCGAGTGTCGTTCTCGAAATAATATAATCTATTCGACCAGTTCTGTGCTGTTCTGGTTTCTCATATCAAAATAAAATCGTGTGTGTTGATAGCCACAGAAGGATAGCAAATAAAACACTGTGAACGTATGCGCCTGCCACCAACCAATTCCAAAATGGCTGCATTTTCTATGTATCTATCAAAATACACATTACGATGAACACACACATAAGATCCACTCGGTTCCTTCTCTGTAGGTCTTGTTCTTCTTCTTCGGTTTTTTCTCCATAGCACACGTTCTCAGCAGAAGAAGAACTTTGTTGTTGAATACACCAATTGATGATGATATTCTTGATATTTCAGCCGTACATTGCGTTTTGAGCTCGTTTCTGTTTACGGCATACGTACGACTTCTTTCCATATATGATGAATTTGTTTAATTTCATCGAGTTATTTTTGTTTTGAACGTTTTTAAAGGCACACACGCACACACACACGCAGATATATATCATCACCATATATTCATTTTGCTTTGCTATGCGTTCTCTTCTCTCTTTTTTTCAGGCAAAATGTGTGTACCGTAAAACTGTCGCCGTAAATGTAAATGACAACTTGAAAAAAGAGAGATAAAGAGAGAATAAAATAGAATGAAAAAATAGACCCAGTGAGTAATGAAATGGTTGTCATCATCTATATGGTTCTATGGAACCAAACAAAATAGGTGCCAACTTCAGCTTATTTTAAACATTCATTTCGTTCACGTACACATTCAGTGTCGTACTGAATTTGAAACAAAACAAAAATCCACGTATGTTTATTGTTATTTATTTCCCTCCGACTGGCAGTGCCAGTCTGGCACTTAGATTCTAAGCACACAGTGAGCCATAGCACCGACAAACGCCTAAGACGAAGTGAAGAACATGTGAATATTTCGACGATAATTATCACGGAAATTGTGTGCATGCAAACGAGAGCCAAAGCTGAAAGGTGATCTATGTGAGTGTGTTAGCATATGTGTTCTATGCAACAATATTGCCCCTTGGTCTTTGTGCACTGTGTAAAAAGTCAGTTGGTCGAATGAATGAATCAACATATTGTGTTCGAGAGAGAGAGGTATGAGGCGTTCTTGCCGTTTGCTGTCTGTGTATGAATCGGCTTCGGCTGGCCTATGCATTTATGCTAATGCTTAGTACTAAAATAAAACACACCACATAGGCTTGTAAAATCAAGTTGGTTGCATACGTAGGCACATCTTGCTCTCTTTATCCCGACTTGTAAGCGCCAATATCGCAACTGGGTTTTCATGATCTGTGTTCGTATCTAATTTTATCTCTTCGTCTTGAAATTTATATAAATCCCTTGCCTTTGAATCGTACATGTTAAACCGGTTCGAATATGTATACAATTAAATGAACTCATTTTCTGTTCGGAAAGCGTTGCATTGTTCTCATTTGCGATCAATCATTTATCTCGCCGATGTAATTTGGTTAATGCACCGAAAAAAAGACTAGAAGAAGTCTGTGGAAATTATCAATTTTCATATATTTAGAAGGGAAACGCAGCAAAACAAAAACATTTTTTAATGCCATAATTTTGATTCAATGGGCGTTAAATCAGTAAGCCCGAAGACTGCAATTGTTCGCTATAAATCGTATGCAACCTACCATTGTTTCGGTCTTTCCACAATATCACGTTTTGTTTCACCACGAGCGCTGTTTTCATTGAACTCACTGTTCTCTCTCTCTCTATCTCTCCCTCGCTCTCGCTCTTGCTCGCTCGCTCGAATACATGCTATATTTTTTTCTCTTCATTCAGTTGTTTACATTTCAACAGAATTCTTTTGCCTTTAACTTGTTTTTCGGTTTTCGTTAAAGTACAACAGCGGACGATCCAACCAGAAATTGAATGAGAATAATCGGTGGAATATTCCAAGAAAAACGGTAAATCGTCGGTTTGTATACGCAATCGACGATCCAAATTGGTTGAATTCTCCAGAGACTTTTGCCAAATTAACAGCTGTTTCAGAGAACAAAACGTTTACAGCACATATGCTACCAAAATCTCCTAAATTTCTCATGTTTTTATTATTAATCGGGAGTTTTTTTCTCTTTTGAATCATTATTTCAGTAAACAATCTCAGATTTGAAAATAAAAAGTCTGTTCCATTATATGAAACAGACGGCCGAGGATAAAATTCAAGAAAAAAAGTCGAGAACAAATAACATAGACTTTATGTTTACAATGTTGATAAGCGAAATATTTTCACTTAAGCTAGCTAATCGTTTGATTTTTTTTACCTAAATATCAACAGTTATTTCTTCCAAAAATGGAAACGTCTGACCACATTATACGCTGTTATTTCATTAAACTTGAAATTGATAGAGAGGTCGATTGTCCCGTCAAATCATCACTTCACTCGTTTTGTCGCTAGTCGACCAATTGGCAAGTGGTACAAATAAGAATTTCGAGCATCGAAACTATGAGAGGTAGGCAAATGAATTTGGTTCATTTCAGGTATTCCAGAATATATCATGTCGAATTGAGTTTGCTGTAAAAAGCCAATGAAGAAATCGCCGATGATCTCATATGATATATGAAGCAAGTTCTTCTTCTGCTGCTGCTTTTGTTTACTTTAATCATTGTCTTACTTTGTAGATATTTTTTCTCTGTCGTTTTCATCATCTCTGTCATTCGTCGTTCTTATTTCGATTTTTTTTGTTCGTTCGGTGAATGCATACACATTCGATATGATCAAAAGTCTTGCGAAATGATGAAACACAAAATGTCTGTATTCATTTTTAATAAACGCCTGCGTGTCTGTGTTTGTTCTAGACATTAATTGGAATTCCAGCGAATGAAATAAGAGAAGTTCTGCTTCACTAGATTGTCTCTGGTAAAATGTATTAGAACCGTACCTAATTTGACAGACACTTTCGCAGAATTCGCTTTGTTGATTGATGCGAAATAAAATGAATTCGATTCGTTGTTTTTGTGAAAAACACTCCCAAATTAAGTTATACGGAGGCAATCGATTTCGTCGAAGAATTTCGAAAAAGTTCGAAACAACAAGAAAGTACCAACACTTTTTTGTTCGTCAATTTTTAATGGATGCCGGTTGAGAGTCCAGTTCATTTGGTATGCATGACAAATATGAATCGCAAAACAATTTACGCGAGTTTTTTTCTCTCGTTCGATTCAATTCTCATGAATATTCAAAAACAGGACGGATTTGTAACTGGCGAAACATGAGCCAGCGAAATTGATTCGATTGGTGTCCAATCGGCTACTTGTGGCACCAAACCAACAAGAATGACGTCTAGATAGAAATTCAATTGAGCCGAAGTGAGCCAAAAATGTGATCAATACGTCTATAATATGACCATTGGAACTAACTAAAGTTGCATCCGTGACCATATACAATACGAAATGGGAAAGACACTTTTCAGATGTAACCAATTAACGAAAAACCGGTTTGAAAATGAATTTTAGATTGGGCTACGCTAATTTGCATTCAAGTGAAAAAAGTATCACACGATTTTTGTTTCTTTACACACTTCAGTTCGAAAATAATCAAAATCAGTAGCGCCGCAGTTGATTTGCGCAGTTCAGAACGGTTCAGATTTTTGAAGTATTCCTAATTTGCGATTTCTTTTGTTTGTTTGTTTCAAGCGAATGAATATGAACACTGATAAAAACAAAAAAATTACTTTGACAGTTATGACGATAATAATATTCGCCGGACGAATGTTTGAAACCTGTTGACAACGTTTTTATATGACACCATCACCACCACCACCAACGAATATCGATAACGAAATTTTCTACGAAACATGTAAATACACTTCTCACCAGTGAATGTTATTGGATTCGGTGTAACAGACTTAAATGGAAGTGGCACAGTATTGCGGCAAATATGGAGAAACACAAATATGTTATTTTTTCAGTGGTCGAGGTGTCAATCAATCGCCTGTGCTCGATACACTCCCCTGTGACACGCACCAAAGATTGTTTCGCTCAAGATAGGAAATCTATTTATTTCTCCGTTGAATTTATACTGAACAAAAAAAATAAAATGTTGTTTTCAGAAAGTTGCGTTATTCACTCCAATGATATACATGTTTATAGGCCACTGATGTGTGGGTGATGATCTTTTACACAAATTGCCATAACAACAGTTTTAATTTGTTTATGAAGAGTAAAAAAGTATCCAATAATACTTGAATCATGATTAGATTCGGTATCGTGTTATTTTGCATACTGCTAGAGATGCATTGACACATGAAATTTCCAGAGCTCGTCTCACTCTCATCCGACTGAGAGAATTATTTCTGATTTTCTGTAGACGCATTTTTTATTTCGTTCTCTATCAGCGGTTCTATTTTTAGCGCGTACTTTTTGAATAATAATTTTGATTTGCATACCGCCTTGTCTCATTCGAAGAAATGAGAGAGAGATTTCTAGCTGCTCAAGACACTGGACCCACTTTGCAGATAACAATTGGGTTGAGAGCGAATCGAAATAAAAGAAAGAAAGCAATCAAACAGTTCGGCATCTGTTGCCATTCTTTTGGAATAACTGTTGTTCAGAATGAATAAATTGAACGTTATTTCATAGCACACGTGTTGCTCTTCTCATATTCGCAACCTCGGGGGTAGACACTGATTTTAATATCAATCTGGTATCACTAATCTTTCTAATTTTTGGAAATATATCCCTAGTTTCATTTAGTTTTCTCTAATATTTCTAATAATTGAATGAAAGTGCTTACATCTTCTAA